ATAGTTGGTTCTATGTCTTGGTTTGGCTGATGATATTGAGCTTTTCCACTGTCTCTTCCCACAGATATAACCAAGTTAATTCCTGCATATTTCATCTGGTGAGATCCATGTGCGTAGTTGCCTTTTGTTATTTAAAAAAGGTATTTGTAATGAACAAAGCAACATTTTTGTAACAGTATATCATGATATCTCCAGTGCCATTTCTATTACCAAGGTCATATTTCCCACCTATTGATCCTTTGTCTTTGTTTCCAGCCTTTGCATTCCAATCAACAGTAACAGTTTCAGACTGAAGAAGTTAGTTTGTTGTTGTTGTTAGGTGCCATTGAGTTGGTACCAACCCATAGTAACCCTATGCACAGCAGAATGAAGTTAGTAGAATTCTTCAAATTCTTCCTCACTGGCTTTAATGGTTGGTTGTAAATTTGAATAATAGCTGCATGAACTGCTTTTCCTTGTAGGCATATGGATATAACATCATCACAGACAGCAGTGTACTTTAAATTAGACCTTGGAATGTTCTTTTTGACAATGAATGCAATGCCATTCCTCTTGAATTTGTTGTTCCCAGGATAGTAAACCTGATAGTAAATTGCCAGATTCAAATTGGCCAATACCAGTTCATTTCAGCTCACTAATGATCTTTATGTATTCCATTTAATTGTTCAAAATTTCCAATTTTCCTAGATCAATACTTCAAATATGCCATACTCTAGTTATTAATGGCTGTTTTCAGCTGTTCCTTCCCATTTTAAGTTGTGTCCCATCAGCAAACAAAGGTCCTGAAAGTCTTACTCCATTCATGTCATTATGGTCAATTGGACTCTGAGGTGGTAGTTCTTCAGTTGTATACTGAGTGCCTTCCAACCTGAGGTGCTCATTTTCCAGCACTATATCTAACAATATTCTGCTGTGATTTATAATTTTTTCAGTGTTTAACCAGTCAGAAGTAATCTGCCTCTCCTTCTTCCTACTCTGTCTCTGTCTGGAAGTTCTGCTGAAACCTGCCCCAAATAATGAATTAGCTGGTATTTAGAATACTCTTGACATAGCTTCTAGAATTATGGCAACATGTAAGCCATCACAGTATAACAAACTGACAGATGAGAGGTGCTATATAAAACATAGGCTGTAATGTTTCTAGGAAGATAAAATGATGATCAAACAGTAAGATAAAATGATCATCAATAGCTTTCCATCAGTGATGAATAGATGCTATCATGAATTTCTAGAAATACTGCAGCCTATGTTTTGTTTTGCTGCAATCTTTCTAGAAATTCTTGATAGCTCCTATTCATCACTGATGAAACGTTTTTGATGATCATTTTATCTTCATTTTTGTCCATTATTAGATTTTTTCTTTTAATTTACTCATCTATATCTTTGGTTTTACATTAAAAATTATTCCTTGCATTAATCTTAGACTTTTCAGGTAATATTTGCTAAGAAACTCACCCCCCCAAAAAATACAGAGACAACATTTAACCTACTTGTAATTGTCTATGGGCTACACAAAGACTTGATGACAGCCTTGAAAATTGTTAAAACTAAATCACAGTGCTTGTTAGTAACAAAACACCATGAAGAGATAATATTTACACCAAAGGAATATTTAAAAAATTAATTCCACAGACATGTATTTAATAAATCTTACCATGGAGATAACCACACTATGCAGGATAATATACTACAAAACGCTTGGTATCTATTAATCAGCAAACCAAACCCACTGTTTATGGGTTAATTCTGACTCACAGTGACCCTATATGGAAAGTTTTACTAGAGTGGACAGCTCATCTTCCTCAAGTGTAGTGAATAGTGGCTTTGAATTGCTGACTTTATGGTTAGCAGTCCAATGCCTAACACACAGTGACACCACAACTCTTTTGGAACATAGTGTAGTGGATTATGCATTGAGTTGCTAACTGCAAGGCCAGAAGTTTGAAGACACCAGCCACGATGTGGGAGAAAGATGAGGGTTTTTGTTTCCATGAAGATTTACAGTCAAGGTCGCTATGAGTTGGAACCGATTTGAAGGTACAGCATCATTAGTAAATAACATTTCTTATCAATTGAGCATCTGCTATTTATTAGATGCTTTATATATATTTTAATTTATTTCCTCAAAATGACTTTACCAAGAGTCTATTATCATTTTCTTTATTCTATTGATGAGGAAACTGAAGTTCAAAGAAGTTAAATAATTTATGAAATGTTAGAGAACTGATAAATGAGAGATAGAACTCAGGAAAGGATTCTAGTGTTCACTGTCATAACTATTACTGTACAATTTCTTCCCCTCCTCGCTTTATGTAATATTAGCCTAAAAGAAATACTATCAGTAGAATACTAGTGTCAGTGGTTATATATATATATATATATAGTTTTCCTGAGATTGACTTCTCAAGGACTGAACTTGTTTATTGTGAAGGAAAATGTTAAATACCAAGGTTTCTAATTTTAGTAAAATTACAGTGTAACAATGTAAGAGGGGCCCATAATTCAACAGGCTATAATGTGGAGAAATACAATTGTGGATTAAATGAAATGACCCATATCAGATGCTGCCACATATGTTAGTAGTCTTGCTGAGCCACCATCCCCTTTCTAATGATTTCTGGTACTTTATGGTGTTAATTGTTTTTGCCAATTTAATAATTGCAGGGGATGCCTTGGTCCTGTGATTTCTGAGACATCTAAACAATACAATGGTTTTAGTAATTGCTCAATTATTTGACACCTTTATCTTGATCATAAGAATACTCGGGGTATGTAAACCACCTTCTGCCTCCTGTTTTCCCAGATAGGGCTTCCAGATGTCACCATCTTCTTTGTCTCACCCTCCTCTCTATATCATTTGTTCCCACACACAGCAGAAGGTAAAAACGTAACTTACTCCCACTTGAAACAGGAGGATAGTTAGAAGAAAGAAATCACCATACAATTCTATTACACTCAAATTTGCTTTGGGGTCAAGGCAGGGTTTTTAGGAAACAAACTTTTTGTCTGCTTTCAATAAAAAAAATTAAAACCATGGATTTTTAAAGTATTCATGATGAGTTTATACTTTACTTTCCCCCTATGATCATAACATATATAATAGCTTTGACAGATCTTAACTTAGATTACCACGAAACATTGTTTATTGCTTCACTTCAATAGGGCAAGGAGAACATCTTTCTGCATATGGGAACTTTCTTTCCATTTCTATGTAACCCACATTTAACTTCTAAAACATTAATTATATCTGCAGTGAGGCAAACAGAAAGTGTTAGAAGGGCAGTCAGACCTCATGTATTAGGGATAAGCTGGTAGTCTTTGAGAGTACAGAGAATGCACAGTTGTGCTGTGTGTTGCTTAATTGTTTTCATTAATGTCTTTGAGGCAGCTCTAACAATGCAGAGGAGCTGATTCTGTCTCCTTTAAGCTTTATCTCTTACTCCCTTTAACTGACCCCCATTATTGCAAAAGTATTTTGACTGATAATTCCAATTGATTAGGTCAATTTCAGTGACTCTGAATTACATCTCTTGGAACTTATAATAGCACGACAGTCGTATGCCAAATAGCTGACAAGGAAAAGAATTATAAATAGCTACCCAACAATTTGGTGTGGCGCTCTGGGTTAATGCGCCAGACTGCGAAGTTGTTTGAACTCAAGATCGGCAGTTCCGGTGGTTCAAGCTCACCAGCTGCTCCTTGAAAACCCTCTACAGGGTCATTATGGGTCGGAACTGACTCTACGGCACTTAACAACAACAACCCAACAATTTGGAGACCTGGTGTGGCGCTGTGGGTTAATGCGCTGGACTGCAAAGTCGGTTTGAACCATAAGGTTGGTTGTTCAAACGCACCAGTCTTTCTTTTCTCGGACCAGTCTCTTCTAGGAAACCCTACACAGGGTTGCTATGGGTAGGAATCGACTCGACAGCACTTCACAACAACAACAACAACCCAACAATCGTATACCTATGTATACTATAACAAATCAATTTCAATTTATTGTGTGTAAAGATATACCTGTATATATGGAACAGATGTCTTTGTTAAAACATACAAATATGCAGATGAATTAAGGTAACTTTGGAATCTCTTTCAAGTAAACACTACCTATCTGCTAAAATTAATTAAAAAAAATAATTTCTATATACTTATAATTTAAAACTTAGAAGCTGGACTCTTACTATTTCCCTGAAATGACATTTAGAAACATTTTATCATGGTATTTTTCTAGAACATTGTTTCTTACTGCTTTTTGCCACTAGATGGAAGAAGCAGGTTAACAAAATGATGTTTTTGGTGCTTTACTCAACTCTGCCCAGAAACAACCACAAAACTGTGTTTAAAATAATGACAGTCTCAGCGTTCTTCTATTTATCTATTTTTATTACAATATTTGTTTTATATGAATCTTGTATTAGGAACTGTATGTTTCATAGAAATTAATTTTCTTTCTTTTTTTTTCTTTTAAAGTATTTTCTCAAGTAACCAAGAAAAAATACAAGTGCTGACTGAAAGACAAGAGGTAGGAATGAAAAAATAGATATTGGTAACAGGTATGCTACACATTATTGTCCAAGGAAGTCCTATATCCATATACATTTCAAATCTCCTTCATTCAATTGCTTCTTCATGCCACAAATATTTACTGAAGTATCTGAGATACAAAAGGATGACTTGCATATAATTCCTTTATAAAGAGTTTCACATTCTAGACGAGAGTTAAACATGAGTTAAACCATAAACTTTTATTCATATTTTTATGATAAGGTAAAATCAATAAGTATTAAAAATATGACTGAAGTATTTTGGATTTACAGGATGGGTGGGGAGATAGGGTTTGTGGTGGAGTACCACTTTCTTCTGAGGTGATCCGAGATGGCTTCGTGAAGAAACTGTAATTAAAATAGGTTCATTCAGAGAATGGCATTCTACTTCTAGGGGCACAACAAGCAAAAACACAGATACAGGAAATAACAATATGAGAAAATGTCTAAAGATGAAAGGATAGTAAAATTTTAAAGGCAGCTTAAAAGTTCAAATAGATAGGATAATCTAATTTGCATTTTTAAAACAGATATTGTTCTTGTTAAGTGTAATTGAATTGGTTCTGACTCATAGAGACCCTGTCTGTGTAGGGTTTCCAAGGAGAGGCTGATGGATTTGAACCTTGTGGTTATCAGTTCAGTGCTTATCCTACAGCACCATACCAGGAAGGACTCTCTCCAAGCTAAATCACCATGTAGGGAAGAAACTATCACTGCCATGGAGTCAACTTTAACTTATAGTGACCTAGGAGGACAAAGTAAAACTGCTCTATAGGGTTTCCAAGGCTGTAGATTTATAAGGAAGCAAACTGATGTCTTTCTGCAGTGAAGTGGCAGGTAAGTTCATTAATTTTCCAGTTAGCATCTAGTGTTTGAACACCTGTGACACCAGGGCTCCTATGTAGGGAATCCTGAGCTTGAAAATGAAATTGCTGCAAAGCAAAATAAACTAGATATGGAAATGCTATCAGCCATCTGATGTTTGTTGTTGTTAGGTACCATTGAGTTGGTACTGACTCATAGTGACCCTATGCACAACAGAACAAAACACTGCCTGATCCTGGGCCAACCTCACAACTGTTGCCACATTTGAGCCCATTGATGCTGCCACTTTGCCAATCCATCTTGCGGGGTGTCTTCCTTTTTTTCTCTGACCCTCCATCTTACCAAACATGATATCCTTCTCCAGCAATTGTTCCCTTCTGACAATATGTCTGAAGTATGAGAGAGCAAAGTTTGGCTATCTTAGTCTCCAAGAAGCACTCTGGCTGCACTTCTTCCAACACAGATCTGTTGTTTTTTTTGGCAGCTTATGGCACTTTCAATATTCTCCCCCAACACCATAACTCAAAAGCATCAATTCTTTTGCAGTCTTCCTTATTCACTGTCTAGCTTTCTCATGTATATGAGGTTATTGAAAATACCATGACTTGGATCAGGCACACCTTAGTCCTCAAGCTGACATCTTTGCTCTTCAACACTTCAAGAGGTCTTGTGTAGCAGATTTGGCTGATGTAATATGTCATTTGATTTCTTGACTGCTGTTTCCATGAGTGTTGATGGTTGATCCAAGAAGAATGAAGTCTTTGACAATCTCAATCTTTTCTCTGTTGATAAGAATGTTGTTTACTGGTCCAGTGGTGAGGATTTTTGTTATCTTTA